GGCCGGACCCGGCCCGGCCGGCCTCCGCGCCTGCGCGACCCAGTCCGCGGCGCCGCACTGGCGCACGCCTTCCCAGGCCTTCTGGGTAACGGAGTTTCCGGGGGATGGCGCATGCGCACAAGGATAGCACCGCCCCTTTCCCGGGCCTTCTGGGAAGTGTAGTTCCCAGGGGCGGCGCGCGGCCGTCTTCCTCTCCTGAGGACTCCCTGAGCAGCGGGCCAAGCAGGTGCTGCCCGCGGGGCCGGGGCCCTGAAGATGTCTGTGCCCCGGAAGCCCAAGACGTTCAAGCTGCGGGCCTTGCACAGCCCGCAGAAGTTTGGGATAGCGGGGAGGAGCTGCCAGGAGGTGTGCTTTGCTGATTACCTGAAGTATTGGCCTCTCTGAAGTTTGGGCAAGGGGCGGGAGCTTCCACTTCCAGGTGCGCGGGGCGGGCGAGGGCAGCCCCGCGAGCTTGCCCGGAGGCTCTGGGTGGGATGGGACTGTTTGGCCGGTCATCTGTCACCATCAGCACCGGCGGAGCCCCGTGTGACCCCGGCGGACCCCGTGTGACAGATGCCCCGGGAGGCGGGGACCCCAAACAGGACCTCGGTGGACCCCCGGGGGCGGCACCGTCTGGGTTCCCCACGTGAACTGCCTCGGGGTCCACGACAAAACCCTGCGATTCTGTGCTGACGCCTCCACTTCAGGGCAGGCGCCAGGTGGCAGAGCCTGGAAGGGCGCGAGGGCACTGCAGAGTGGGTGGAGTTGGAGTCAGCAGATTTCTGGGGGTTCTCGGACTTTGGGGGGTCCTCAGACTCCCCCCGTGGGCGCAGAGGTGCCGCGTCTGGCACCCAGCGTTAGCGAAGCCTCTGCCCTGCTCAGGTACCGACCCACTTGGGAGAGATTTGGGAGAGTCAGAGGCGCAGCGTCCAGGGTGTGTGTGTGGGGGGCAGGGGGAGGGGGAGAGGGGGAGGGTCTGGGGAAAAGCCATTTGCTGCCATTGGTCCCTTGAGGCCTGGAAGAGGCACTCCCTCCTCCAGCGCCTCAGGGTGCAGAGTGCAGGCCTGTGGAGGGATGGGGGCATCTTCCCTCCCCTGACTGTGAGGGTCCTGACCTCTGGCTTGAGATCCTGGACCGTTTCCAGGGCACACCTGCCAGTTTGCTCAGAGCCAGGACACAGCCACTTGGACTCCCTGGGACTCGGGTGCCCCTCGTGTGGGATGAAGGGCTTGGGCTGGGAGGCCCCTCCGGCCCTGCAGCACGAATGTGGCTCATCGGCCGTGGCTCTTGCTCTCGCTGATGTTGTTTCCATGGCTGGGCCTAGACCAGGGCGGGAGTGTGGACACGTGCGGTGGGGGTGACACACGAGTTGCCCTAAAGATTCACCAAACCGCCCAGTGTGGAGCAACGGAGCACCCACCTCCGCCAGGGAACGGCCCCGGTTGCCGGCCATTCAGGACGGAGGCCGGCCTCATTTTCAGCGAGACGGCCTCCTAACCCAGGGGTCCTCAAACTACGGCCCGCGGGCCACATGCAAATACAAATATTGTATTTGTTCCCGTTTTGGTTTTTTCCGTCAAAATAAGATATGTGCAGTGTGCATAGGAATTTGTTCATAGTTTTTTTTTTAAACTATAGTCCGGCCCTCCAACGGTCTGAGGGACAATGAACTGGCCCCCCGTTTTAAAAGTTTGAGGACCCCTGTCCTAACCAATCGGCGCCTGGGAAACCAGACCCACACCAGGCCCGTGGTCCTGGCCCGTCGGGCCATGTGCCCTCACGGATGGGGGTGCGTTGCTGGCTCCGGGGCAGCAGTCACGTGTCATGTGTGGGGACGGGTTTGGCTTGTCAGTGCTCTGAGCAGCAGCTGGAAAGGTCCTTGTCGTGCCTCCCGCAGAGCGGGGACCACTCTGTCTTAGAACGACCTGCAGGAGGTGCCCTGGTTCCGACCGGCTGATTCTCTAGACCAGCCGTGGGCAAACTACGGCCCGCGGGCCGGATCTGGCCCGTTTGAAATGAATAAAACTAAAAAAAAAAGACCGTACCCTTTTATGTAATGATGTTTACTTTGAATTTATATTAGTTCACACAAACACGCCATCCATGCTTTTGTTCCGGTCTCTGGTCCAGTTTAAGAACCCATTAGTTTGCCCACCCCTGGTCTAGACACACGGGCCTGCCTCTGGTGTGCACCCGCTGGCGTGCAGGCAGTGTGTTGAGCGTGATTCTTGTTCCCCGTGAGGTTGCTGTGGGGAGCCCTCGTGCTGCTGCGCGGAGGTGGGCCTGCCTGAGGCCCTAAGCGAGCGTCCTGCCCTCTCCTCTCCTCTCTGTGCCTCCCAGGTGCCCGTGCCCGGCTCCCGCCTGTGCCTCTGGGAGGACGGCACGGAGCTGACTGCAGATGGCTTCTGGAGCGTCCCCGACAACGCGGAGCTGGTGCTGCTCACCAAGGGCCAGGCCTGGCAGGGCTGTGAGTGGCGGGAGGCTGGCGGGCCCTGGGCGCTGAGGGGAAGGGTCTGGTGTGCGTCCCTCCAAGCAGGATGTTCGAATAGTCTGTCCACGGGTGACAGGAGGCGTGATCGTTAGCCATCTGGGACGTGCAGACCGAACCCAGGGTGGGACTGCACCTCACCTGCTAGCGGACAGGGGCTGGGGAGGAGGGGGAGGAAGTGGCCCTCACGTTCTGCCCGTGGGACGTCACACGGTGCAGCCGTGTGGGCCAGTCTGGTGGTTCCTGGAACCACAGACGCCCCCCAGGTGACCTGGCAGTGCTCCCCTAGGTGCGTACCCCAGAAAAGTGAAAGCATTGGCCACACAAAGGGTTATGCCAGAGGTTCCCACCGTGGGTCATATGCCCACAGGGGGTCCCAGAATGAGTTATTAACAGTGAATTTTTTGCATTTCTTATGGTTCTAGGCCAGCCGTGGGCAAACTACGGCCCGCGGGCCGGATCCGGCCAGTTTGAAATGAATAAAACTAAAAAAAAAAAAAAGACGGTACCCTTTTATGTAATGATGTTTACTTTGAATTTATATGAGTTCACACAAACACTCCATCCATGCTTTTGTTCCGGCCTCCGGTCCAGTTTAAGAACCCATTGTGGCCCTCGAGTCAAAAAGTTTGCCCACCCCTGTTCTAGGCACCTCATAGATAGTATATAAACATATGTTGTGACATACAAATTTCAGTTCTCTAGTATATGTTCTGAAACTTTATTTGCCACTTTTTCATATCGCTTCATGTTATTATTTTTTAAACAAATTCTGAGTGATTTCTTTCTCAGGACTTCAACTATCCTTTCATTCTTTTGTTTTTCTCTTTCATGGATGCCATGTTCTTTGGAAGCTTGGTTAGACCAACTTCATGGCCTTTTAGGCTTCCTCCATGTGACTAGGGGTTCACTTTTTAAAAAAATATATGTATTTTATTGATTTTTTTACAGAGAGGAAGGAAGAGGGATAGAGAGTTAGAAACATCTATCAGCTGCCTCCTGCACACCCACTACTGGGGATGTGCCCGCAACTGAGGTACATGCCCTTGACCGGAATCGAACCTGGGACCCTCGGTCTGCAGGCCAACGCTCTATCCACTGAGCCAAATCAGCCAGGGCAGGGGTTCACTTTTTGAACAATAAGAATTCTGTGTCACAGCGGGGGCATCGGATGTTAGAGATGCTTAGAGGGGGCGTGGCCAAAGGCAGGCAGGGAGCCACTGGGTTATACCCGATGTGCACAGCAGCTTTCTGCCTTATGGCCCGAAGGCGGGAACAGCTCCGTGTTCACTGGTTCCGACAGTGGGATGTTACTCTGCCGGGAAAGGAGTGAAGCCCTGACTCCGAAACGTCACGTGGGAGGCGGTCAGCGCCGTGTCGGCCCAAGGCGGTGCCCAAGGACTGATGGCTCTTCTGTTTGTCCCCTTCCTGGTGGCAGACGTGAGTGACATCAGTCGCTTCCTCAGCGTGTTCCACAGGCCGCACGTGGGGGTCATCCAGGCCGCCCGGCAGCTGCTGTCCGACGAGCAGGCGCCGCTGCGGCAGAAGCTGCTGGCCGACCTGCTGCACACGGTCAGCGAGAACATCGCGGCCGAGACGAGGGCCGAGGACCCGCCCTGGTTCGAAGGTGCCTGGGAGTTGGGGCCTGTGGAGCTGGGCGTGGGGGGGTTCCCCAGAGCCGGACACCCGGGAGAGGCCGGATTCTACTTCAGTTCCCAAAACTAGGGGCTCCCCAAACTAGGGGCTTGCAGCCTCCCTGATCATGGTAGCCAGGACGGTGGTGAAGTACACATGACATTCGCTCCCCATCCTAGCCATTGGTAAGGGCGCAGCTCGGCCATTCCATACATTCCCATTGCTGTGCAGCCCTCCCCATCGTCAGCTCCAGAACTGTCCATCTTCCCACACTGCACCTCTGTCCCCACTAAACACTAACCGCCACCCGCTCCCCCCGCCCCTGGCGCCCACCCTTCCTTTCTGTGTCTGTGGACCTGACTCCTCCAGGGACCTCACCGAGGTGCAGTCAGACTACTTGCCTCTGCGACTGGCTGCTTTCCTGAGCCCCGTCCACGAGGTCCCTCCTGGCCGTAGTGGGTGAAACCTACCCCACTGTGTGGGGACCACGTGTTCTTGATCCGTTCACCCGCCCATGGACGGACGCCTGGGTGGCTTTGGACTAGCCCAGCCGTGGGAAAACTACGGCCCCCGAGCCGGATCCGGCCCGTTGGGCTGTTCTATCCGGCCCGCGGAGCCGAAAGAACGGAGGGTTCTCTTGCTCTCCCCTCCGCTCCTTCACCAGCAGCAGTGTTAACATGTATTAGTTCACACAAACACGCCATCCATGTTTTTGTTCCGGCCCTCTGGTCCAATTTAAGAACCCATTGTGGCCCTCGAGTCAAAAAGTTTGCCCACCCCTGGTCTAGCCTGTTGAGCAACCCTGAGATGCCAGCATCTTGAGAAGGTGGCACCAGGCAGGAGCCCTGGCCCGGTGTGGCAGCTGAGATCCCCTCGTGGACAAAGACTCCCCACACACGCCCGGCAGGACATTTCTCAGACGAAGCCCTGACCCCCACCTCCCGGCCCCCCTCCTGCCCAGGACGGTATGGATGCAGGGTCCCCTACCTTCCTCTCCCCACCCCACCCCCCGCACCCCTATCACCCCCATCCAGGACGGCATGGATGCAGGCCCTTGCCTGGCTCCCCCTGCAGGTCTGGAGTCCCGGTTTAGGAACAAGTGCGCCTACCTGAGGTTCAGCTGTGCGAGCAGGATCCGGACCTACCTGAGAGAGGTGGGCCCTGCACGGAGAGGGCAGGGGGACGTGGGGCTCCGCTGTGGGAGGTGAGGCCGCTCGGCTCCTGACCCAAATCGTCCCGTTCTACTGGAATGCGGGAGCGCTGTGGACTGAGCCAGGACTGCGGGGGACGAGCAGTCTCATCTGGCGGAGCTCACCTGTCTGTCAGGCAGTGCGGCAGGGCCCTGTGTCCCCTCCGGCCTGTGCCTGGAGGGAAGGTCGGGGGCTGCCAAGGTCCTTGTTCTGTGCAGGCGGGTTTTGGGGGGTGGCGGTTCCATTTCCAGCCACAGAAGTGGGGGTTCCCTGCGTGTCGGTGTGAGCAGCCTTCTTGGTGGCGGGCGGTCTTAGAAGAGGTGTTCGGATGCTCTCCTGCGACACAGCATGGGTGACCCTGCCGCCCGCCCAGCTGTGGACACAGGGCCGTGTCTCTACTGCAGCGGGCTCCGTGTGTGACTGTGTATCACTTTGCAGACCAGTCTCAGAGCCTTTCCTTCCACTGGCAAGAATGCGTCACAAGACGCTCCTTGTGGCCAGGCGCCTAGGAGGTGTCGTTTTGGGGGGGGGGGGGGGGGATGCCCTTTCCCCGGGGCCACCAGGCCAGTGCTGAGCTGCCCTCCCACGGAGCTGGGCCCTGGGCCTCCGGCCAGCAGGCCTTGGACCCCGAGCTGCTGAAAGGCTGCGGGGCCCACCCAGAGCGCCTGCTCCAGTCGCACGGGCCTCAGAACCTGCATATCTGACAAGTTCCCGTGGCGCTCCGCTGGTCGGCCCCCCCCCCGCTGATGGGGAGGAGTCACAGCTCTTGCCAGCATCTGGGAGCACACCGTTCCTTTGGGGGGGCTGGGCCGAGGAGGGACATCAGGTGCCTCTGGGAAGCAAGCGTTGTGCCCCCTGGGCAGCTTCCTCGGTGACAGCGCAGGGATGTCAGGGTCTGTGGCCACTGTGACGTCTCGGGCGCTGGGTAAGCCCGAGTCCTGGGCCGGGGGCGTCGCCGGAGCCGGCACTCTGAGCTGCACAGGCAGACCCTGCAGGAGCCTCCCCATCACCCGAGGGATCCCCGGGCACTGCTTCCCCGGTGCCACCCCTCGGAGGACAGGGGGACGCCGTCCCACCACCTTCCTGGCCTTCACCTCTGTGGGGTGTCAGGTGTGGTCCGGCCTCAGGTGCCGATGACAGAGCCGGGCAGGGACTGAGGTGGCGCCTCCTGACCCCAGACCAGAGGGAACGGCTCCCTCTGCGGCGCTCACCTTGCCCTCTCTTGGTGCAGGGTCCTTTTGACATGGCCGACTGTGCGTCCAGACACTCCATCAACCCCTACGGCAGCCGGGAGAGCCGGGTCCTCTTCAGCACCTGGAACCTGGACCACATGTGAGTCCACGGGTAGGGGGCTTCCCAGTGTTTAGACAAATAGGCACCCCCCAGGGACCCAGGCAAAGTTGCCATCAGGCCTTGCCAGGCAGCTGACCCGCAGCTGTGGCCACGCTCAGTGCGGCTCAGGGTCCAGTCGGTGAAGGGACATCCCCGAGTGCTCAACCCGCGACAGCACCGAGCCTCCCACCCTGGTGCTGCTCCTGGGAGGCGGCCGAGTGTGGTTTCCTCTGAAATCGTCATTTCCCAGTCACCTTCTCCTGTAAGTGGCCACGCGCTGTTCCGTGTGAGCTGCCCGAGCCCGTGGTGTCAGAGCCTGTGGTGGAACAGGCCGTGCCTCGGGGCGCCAGCAGGTGTGACCGCG